GCTCTGACATTCTCTGTTCTAAGCTCCCTCCCAGCTCTGACATTCTCCTTTCTAAGCTCCCTCCCAGCTCTGACATTCCCTGTTCTAAGACCCCTCCCAGCTCTGACTTTCTAAGGCTTTCTATATTCAGTTTCACAGATGAACCAGCCCCTGTCCCTACCCGCCAGGGCTCACAGTACAGTGGGTGGGTAAGGCAAACACTCCAATGAATGAATCTGGGAGCAGGTAGGAATCACATTGCGCAGAAATGAGAATTCTGGGCTGTGCAGATGCCCCAAGGCTCCCTGCCCTCAGCTATTTAAATGAGATTCTCCTGGTACTCACTCCCTGGTTTTCCCTTCTGCTCCAGGCACAGTGTGGTCCTAAGCCTGGACTTGAGCAAAGATCAGGAGGAAGGAGCCCGGCCTGGGCGTGGCTTCTGGTCCCACGGCTGCCTTGACTTGATGTGTGACTTGGGGCCAGTCACTTCTCGTCTAGAGATTCACCGTAGGAGGTTGGGTTCCCTTCCGTCTCTGGATCCTTTGGTCTCGTGACCCTTGTCACACCTGTAGTTTGTGAACTTGGGTGGGTAGTGGCCATGGGCCATGGGCCGTGGGCCGTGGGCCAGGGGCCAGTCTGTTGGGCCGACTCTTGGTTTGTCTCAGTCAGGATTTTTGTTGAGGGCAGGAGACCGAGTGATGGACTAGATCCAGCAGAGTCACTTTGACTGATCCTCATGGTTCATTGCTGGGAGAACAGTGGGAACAGAAGATGGGAGGAAGAACTTTTCAGGACCGTTCCTGAACCCTGTGATCTGTCTCCCCATCCCAATCCCATTTAGAGGTGCCCTGGGAGCAAGCACAGTAATGGAGGGAGAGCAGCACAGCTTTTTAGCTGACTCCTCCCTGTTACCCATGGGTCCCTAGAGAATTCACTTTTCCTCCGTGGGCCTCAGTGGTTCCATTTGTGAAACACAGGGGTCAGGTTATTTACAAGGATCTTCCCAGCTCTGAATTCCAATCCTTGGATTCCTCCTCCCTTCCCCTTTCTTCTTACATCTCAGGAGCCACCTAGCTTTAATCTCTCCTTTGCATTTTGCTAATTCTCATTGTCATCATCTGCTTCCCACCTCTCCCCTCTACTAGGCCAGAAAGATAATGAGTTGCCTCTTGGACATGCCCTGGGATATCAAGTTGGAAATGCCTCTGAGGGTGATGGTGGTGCATTCCTGGAGCTCAGGAGATGTCAGGCCAAGCCTCGGGCATAGAGAGGAGACTCGCACCCACCGTATCCAGAAAGGAACTCTTTCCTCTTCCCTCCCAAACCCCCCTAGTTCTGCTGAAGGCGCCACCACCCTCCTGGACAGCCACATTCCCACGCTCGGCATCGGGGCCAGTCAGTTGACGAATCTTGTCAGTTATCCTTCCTCTCCACTTGCACCACAACCCTCCTAGCTCAGACCCTCCTTCCTTCTCTCCTGGGATAGTTCATCAACCTCCCAGTGGCTCTTCCAGTCTTCAGTCTCTCCCCTCCCCAGCTCTTGCTCTGAACAGCTGCCACCTTGATTTCCCAAGTGCATCTGTGTCCCTTCACTGCTCAGGGAACTCCAGCAGCTTCCTGTTGCCTGTTCTTCTGCTCTTTTAAGCCCGCTGCAATCTGGCTTTGGTGCCAGTTTATTGTAAGTTACTCCTTTCTTGGGATTTTCGTTCGACCCAAATGGGCCTGTTGGCTGCCCCCATGGGGGCCTTGCCGTCTTTTCTCTCCACACTCTCATAGAGGCTCTTCCCCAGGTCTGGATGCACTTTCCTTATCCCCCCCCCACCCCGAAGAATGCCAGGAGCTGAGCTACCTCCTTCAGGAAGTCCATTCTGATCTACCTAGTCACTACCTAGCCCTGCTCCTGGAAATTATTTTTTATTTCAATTTCTATATATTTCCCCCTGAGAGAAAGTAAAATATTTGAAGGCGCAGACTGTTTTGTGTGTGTGTTTTGTCTCTGTAACTCCAGCATCTTATACAGGACAAGACACTTAATAGATGCCTATTAACGGATAATCTATTTATATTGCTGGCCCTACTGAGTTTGAATCCTGCTTCAGACACTTACTAGCTGTGTGACTTTGGGCTAGTCATGTAACTTCTCTCAGCCTCAGTTTCCTCATTTGTAGAATGGGGATAATTATAGCACCTGTCTCAGGGTTATTGTGAGGATCAAATGAGATTAATATTTGTAAAGTGCTTTATAAAACTGAAAGTATCGTATAAGTGCTATATTACCATCACCATCATCAATATCCTCATCATCATCATCATCACCATCACCATCATCATCATCATCATCACCATCATCACCATCATCACCACCACCACCATCATCATCACCATCGCCATCATCATCATCATCATCACCGTCATCACTGTCATCATCATCACCATCACCATCACCATCACCATCATCATCATCACCATCACCATCATCATCATCATCACCATCACCATCATCAATATCCTCATCATCATCATCATCACCATCACCATCATCATCATCATCATCACCATCATCACCATCATCACCACCACCACCATCATCATCACCATCGCCATCATCATCATCCTCATAACCATCATCACTGTCATCATCATCACCATCACCATCACCATCACCATCATCATCATCAC